TTTGTGTATTCTCTATTTGTTGGATTTGTATGTATATTTTCTTTAGAATGATGTATATTTGTCGCCCTTGGTGTTATATTAAACTTGCTTTACGAATCTTTGTGGATTATTATCCTAGATTTTTGCTGTGTGCTAAGGATTTGAGTTGTTATAGACATATACTGCTTAGATTCTTATCTAGGATGATTATCTCTTAGTTTCTGAATTCTAGAGATATATTTAGAGTGACATCTACTTGGGTATCAAAGCTTAATGCCTTTGTGTTGTTTGTTTCGCTCTGAGAGATCGTCGATGCAAGCGAGCAAGGTTGACTTCTGTGTTGTTGAGATGGTTGATAGATTGATACCGAGGTGATGCAGTTGGCCTCTCAATTTGGGTTAGAAATGACTTAGGTTGTGAGTGATACATAGTGACATTGATGAATATTGTAGGTTGAGTATAACAGGTCAATAAGTTTAAGTCTGTGAGAAGTAGTATATATGCATGCTTGATAAGTTATTCCTTTTTCATTTTTATACATTTATTTTCTGTTAATACATTTTCTTTCACCCTATTTATCCCCAAACTCATTAACAAGAAATTTGTCAAACGACGAATCAATAACCAATCTCTGTAGACACGATACGATAACCTAAATATCACCCGTTAAATTAATAACTTACTTTTTCTTGCCGCTCTACCGCAGTAGCAATTAGATTTCTCATCAATCAGCACTGACGACTCGAGAGATTTGTGGGTTTCCTCTATTTCTCTCTATGTATTTCTCTTTTTTTTGGGTTTATTTCTATATTTACTTTGAACATATGTATATTTGTTGATCATGGTGTTGTATAAAGCTTGCTTTACAAATCATTATTGATGTCTTCCTTAATATTTTTGCTTTATGTTTGAATTTGGGTTGTTATAGGCATATAACTCACAAATATTGATTAAGGATGAATATATATTAGTTTCTAGATTCTAAAGATAGATTTAGAGTTAATAATCACTGGGTATCAGAGCTTAATGCCTCTGTATTGTTTGTGTTGCCCTGAGAGATCACCGACACAAGTAATATGGTTGTCTCTAACTTTGCGTTAGACATAACCTCTATTTTGGAATATTTCGAGAGATAATTGATGATTTTGACGAGTATCGTAAGTTGACTGCAACTGATCGATAGGTTTAAGTTTGTTTTTAGTAGTGTAAATTCATGCTTGATAAGTTTTTCTCTCCAAAGAATGTATTGTTTTCCTGTTCATATGTTTAATTCTCGTATTTACTTAAAACCCAATTCAACCTCAAACTCATAAACGTGAGAAATTGTCGAATGACAACTAAGTAGCACCAATCCCTGTGGAGACGATATGATATAACCTATAAAAATACTTACTTTTGCTTGTCGTTATACTGCTTCAACAAGGTCTTATATTTAGGAGTGTCTTAGATAGAAATAGCACGGGTAGTGATTAAGTGAGAAGATTGTAAACTAAAGGTTGTTTACTTAGGCTTCAAACTAATATTATTTTAATGGATTTCCTCCCTGGCTTGGATGCCCTCAGATGTAGGTGATGTTGTACCAAATTGGATTGATAATTATGTGTTATTTACTTTCAGTAGTTTACCTTACGTGCATAATTATTTTTGTTATTGCAACTGGTCTAATATCAGTATCGTGACATCTGGTTTGACATCTAATATTCTTATACCATAATTTCAATTGGCATAAGAGAAGACACATTGTTCTGTTTTTGGTGAGATCGAGGAAGATACTTTCAGGTACCATGGACAAGGAAGAATGATTCAATAACATATTACCAGTCTTATATGGCACCAACTATGACTATTGGAAGGCTCTTATAGTTTCATTCTGAAAATCTATGGATAGCAAAACTCGGAAAGTTGTCATAAAGGGTTGGGATCATCCTGTTTTGAAGGACAGAGATGAGAAGGAGACTTTAAATCTAGAAGAGGACTGGTCTAAAGATGAAGATGAATTTGATCTTGGAAATTCCAAAGCTTTGAATGCCCTATTCAATGGAGTTGACAAAAACATATTTAGGTTAATAAACACATGTACTGTGGCCAAAGATACTTGAGAAATTCTCAGAACCACTTATGAAGGCACATCTAAAGTGAAGATGACTTCTCGCTACCTAATTTGAGAATCTAAAGATGAAAGATAATGAAAGCATTCACGACTTTCACATGAATATTCTTGAGATAACAAACTCATATAGTGCCTTGGGGATGTCAATTGGTTCTGTTGAAATATGTTTTGTCCTCATATAGTGCCGCAAGTAAAAAGATAAATAATGATAATGGATCACCCTGAATTAAACCTCCCTCCAAGCTGAACTCATTAGTTGGACTCCTGTTCACTAACACTGGTGTTGTAGCCATCAATACATTATCAATAATCCAATTTACCCACAAGACAACAAATTTCATTCTAACCATAGTACTCTCAAGATATTGCCAATCGACTGAATCATAAGCTTTCTCGAATTCCACTTTGAATAACAATAACTCTTTCTTATTCTTCTAAGCTTCATCCACCACCTCATTAGCTATTAAAATGCCATCAAGAATTTGTCAACCGAAGATAAAAGCGGATTGAGTATCCGAAATTACCCCTTCAATCACCTTTCTCAATCTATTAGCCAGAACCTTTGCCAAAAATTTATACATACACCCAACCAAAAAAATGTGTCAAAAATCCGCAACTCGCTGAGGACTAGCCACTTTAGATATGACGTAATAAAAGTACTATTAATACATTTTGTTAGCTTGACATCGTGATTCAATTTATCCATAAATATCAACAAATCATCTTTCAATAAGTTCCAAAATTCTTTTATAAAACCAAAACTCACATCATCTGGACCAAGGCTCTTATTACTATCACAATCCCACACCGTCTATTTCAGTTCATCCACTGAAAAAGGCTTAATAATGTCAGCTCCTTCGACCCCACTAATAGTTTTAAATGGAAAATTATCAATCTCAGACCGAGCCCCTTCTACCACCTTAAAATGTGCCTAGAAATGTTGAAAAAAGGCTTGCCTAATCGAAGCTACACCCTTAACCATAATACCATTCACAAGTAAGGACAAAATCACATTTGATCTCCGTCTAGACGACATAAACCCATGAAATTTTTTGAGTTTACATCACCCTCTCGCAACCAATTCAATATGGAATTTTGCCACTGAATGCTAGAATTCAACTTAGATAAAGAAATTAAATCACTCGATAACTCATGCAATTCCACCTCCCCACCTTCCTCCAACATATGAATTTCCCTTTCCATATATAGGGAATCAATACGCTCTTTAACCTTCAAAATTCTCTCTTACAAGTTATGAGTATGTTATTGACACCACAGTTTCAGACTGCGTTTGATTAACTTTAGATTTTCCTTCAACACATAGCCACCCTATCCTTCCACCTGAAAATACCTCCATTGTTCTATTACAAAATCATGATATTCCAGTAAATAGGCCCAACATTTCAACATACATTGCAGTTGCAGTCCCCAATTATGGATATTAATAGTCAACACCAATAGACAATGATTAGATAATCCTATAGAAATAGCCCACTGAGTACAATTAGGCCAGATATCATACCACTGATCAGAAACCAGAAACATATCCAAATGACTTATGACCTGACCATCCCCACAATACCAAGTAAAGCTTCTACCACACAACGACAAATCTAACAGGGCATTATCTTCAATAAACCTATTAAAATACGAGAATTCCATAAAATGCTCAACAGACACCAAACTTCGCCTTTTAGAAGGATGGCTAATAGCGTTGAAATCCCCTACTACACACCAAGGGCCTCTACTAGAATTCTCAAAAACAGACCCAAGACAGTCCCATAACAATTGGCGCCCCACACCACCATACAACGCATACACATTTGCTAAATAGAACTCAAATCCACTTTTAAGAAATATACCTTAATTAATCAAGACCTTCTCCACACTCCTCGAAGCCCACACCTCCACCTCCCTCAAATCCCACATAGTCATGATGCCCCTAAATGCCCCCACTGAAGGATGAAAAGAAAAACCAACCGACTCCACCCCCACAAAAACCAACATATAAAATCACCCGCCACCCATATTTTAGATCCCTAGATAAATAGAATCCATGGACGCTTCTCCAAAATCACCTTCCTTACCTCTATATGCTTTTTCCACCCACCTCACCCTCAAACATTAAAAGAAAATATCTTCATTAAACCCCCCTCCCCCCTCGACACCACCACCCCATCACCCCCCTCCACCTAAACACTCCACCTAAATAAAATGAAAATATACCATTACTAAAATAATCTTAGTTTTGACGCCAAAAATTACTTAAGAGATTTAATAACTTTTATATATAAGATTTTTAAAATTGAAAGAATAAAATGTCAAATAATTAAAGAAAGTGAGAATTTGAAGGATAAAATTATAATTGACTAATTAATTGTTTCTATTTTATTGGTTACACTCTAATTTGAGATAATGAAAATTTGACTATAATAATGGTATTTGATGAAATGAATTTCATAACATATCATTTTATTCAATTCATTTTTTTTAAAAACCAAATAATAAAACATGACTATACTCCAAGAAAAACTTGCATGCACGCGAACATAAATCTTTATTATTATAAATAATCATAAAAATAAAAAAAAATATTTAATTTATTTTTAAATTAATATTATAGAGTGATTGTAATTATAAAACAGAGAATATTATATTTTTATTTTTAATTAATAAAAAGAATATAATTGGTTGTTTGTAAAATAAATATTATATTTATGTGTACTTAAACTTTTCCCCCTACATTCCATTTCATTTTTCCCCATCAATCCAAACATACCTTTCCTACCTTAGAAAAAAAGAAAAAAGAAAAAAAAGAGAAAACTTGATAAAACTGTTCGGAGGAAGATAAACCCCAGTTCTTACTTCTTACAAAATCAGAGAGAACCACAACCCAAAATCGAAGCAGACAATGGAGTTACACACGGCGATTCCACCGTCGCGTTCTTCACTTCCACCATCTTTCTTCCACTCTCCACCACCTCCTTCAACCCATTTTTCACCAATCAAAACCTCACTCCCCTTTTCGCGCTTCAATTTCTTCACCAAACTTCAAACACCAATAAGTAAGTTCCTTCTTAATCATCACTATCTAGGGTTTCAAAATCAATTTTTCATATCATCATGCAATTTTTTTATTGTGTATGAAGGAGGAAGAGGGTTACGACCCTGTAACTATGTTGCTTCACAAGAAGATAATTCAAATGATGTGTTGGATGATAACAGAATGATTGGTGTGTGTGATAAACTCATTGGTGTTTTCTTGGTTGATAAACCTACTCCTACTGATTGGAGAAGATTGTTGGCTTTTAGTAGAGAATGGGATAGCATTAGACCCCATTTTTTTGCACGGTGTAAGGATAAGGCAGTTTCTGAAACCAATCCTGCTATGAAGGAAAAACTTCTCCGGCTCGCAAGGAAGCTCAAAGAGGTTTTTTTAATATACTACTAGATATCGTGAATTTGTTGTTGTTATTGTTATTATGGATTCAGTTTTGTTGTAGGAGTTTTTTTTGCTTAAAATAAGTTTAGGGATCTCACTTAAAAAGTTCTTATGATTTCGGATTGCAGAAAATAACAGTTTGTTGAAATTCTGCTGTTGTAGTAAATAACGTATCATGATTTGTTCAAAATCTGCTACGTTAGACAACACTGGTTCATAAAAGGTTATAAGTGTTGTTTATCAAGAAGTTATACGTAAAGGTTTTTGAATTTTTTTAGATGCATAAGCTAATTTCAATGTATGTTATGCTAGGAGTTTTTTGTTTAAGGCATTTGTAATTATTGCCAAATTCTTTAAATAACTTGAAACTTGATTAATGAGATGCTCAATGTGGTATGTTAATTGGAATGTAAGAAAGAGGAATAGGATATAGGCATGATAAAAATTTGTTGTGAAATGCTATTCTGCAGATTGATGAGGATGTACAGAGACACAATGATCTTCTGGATGTAATCAGAAAGGATCTGTCTGAAATTAGCAATGTCGTCTCCAAGCGCAGAAAGGATTTTACAAATGAATTCTTTGAGCACCTTTATGTAGTGACTGAATCTTATCGTGACGATGCAGAAAAGCAAAATGGTATGATTTATTTTTTCATGCTTTTAGTTACCTAAATCAATATTTAATGTTTTGGATAACTTATTGAAATTGGTGTGCAATATCATACTTGATTACATTTTCTTGTGTGGCTAGTCATGAACCACATTCATTCCGTTCAGAAATTTGTTACACTTCTTTCTTTCTTTCTTTCTTTCTAGGAGTATAACTAGACAATGGTGCTTCTCAACATTGAATTTATGAATTGTATGGAACTTAAAATATTTATTTTGCAGAAGCAAAATACCTGAAGTTGAAGCTTAATTAAAATATAACATTAGTTAGGAGAACTTGTTGTTGTCTTGGTTAGGCTAGATCTGGTTGGAGTGCTGATTGTTATCCTTACTTAGAATACATATACAACCAATATCATCTGATGAATGTCGTATATTAAGAACTGTTAATTGGTTAATTCAAGTTTGTATATTGATAATTTGGTATTTAAAAGCTATAATGCTTTTTGTTTTATGTGAAAAGAACTGGCAAAGCTTGGGAATGCATGCTTGGCTGCTGTACAAGCTTATGATGGTGCAACAGAAAGCATTGAACAGATAAATGCTGCACAACTGAAATTCCAAGATATTATCAATTCTCCCTCACTTGATGCTGCCTGTAGGAAGATAGACAATTTGGCTGAAAAAAAAGAACTTGACTCAACGTTGGTATTAATGATCACCAAAGCTTGGGCTGCTGCCAAAGATTCAAACATGACGAAAGATGAGGTAAAGTTGACGGTCACCTCTGAACTTTCCTTTACAGATTACATGAGCTGCTCCAATTTAGTTTCATGAATATGGAGGATAAGAAATTTTGAATGGTTTTTGAATTAGTTTCTTTAAATTGCAATGTACAATATGGAGGAAGAACCAAGTGAATAAGTTAGATAGCTTGTTTGTTTTACTTTTATTTTCCAACCAAAAATCAATTTGGTGTCTGGTACAGTATAGTCATCTCCTTACCAGCAGTGGTGTGACGTCGATACTATAGGGACACCTAGGATATTCTAGAAGTGGGGCCATGTGGGAAATAATGAGTTAGTTAATGAGGTGTCAAATGAGGTGATGCGGTTCTGTTGGAGGGAGGGTATTATATTTGGATAGGCTGGTGTGTGACGGTATTCAGGATTATTGTTGGTGAGTTGGTTTGGAGAGATTTGCTCCATTTTCATACTTAATACATATAGATTTTCCATTATTCACAGGTTCTACCAGACATAATGCAGGGCAATACCAATACGCTTCCTTATCTATAATGTTTTTTTTTATTCTGCCCCTGATTTATTTTAGTGGAGGAGGTAACAGAGTTTGCATATTCGGTGAATATAAGAAGCAAACGAGTCATACTAGTATGTTTACACAAAAAGTTGAGGGAGTGTGGGTTGATATGAATCCACTACTCTTTTTCACACACAAAATCCACTACTCACAAGCTGCAATAGTTGTCTAATTCTTTCGTATGATGTAGGATGCTTTGAAATAATTCACAACACATGTGATATCATTAAAAAATAGGAGCATCTTGTTGATTGAATATAATAATGGGATGTCCAATTTGACCTTGTCTGTTAAAGAAACCCACTCATTCTATATTCTACTTGGCTAGATATTATACGGTAAATTTTTCATGCATTATATATGACTTACTATTTCCTATATAACTTGTAAAGAAAAACATTTTTTTTTAGGTACAAGACATCCTCTTTCATTTATACACGACTACAGTGGCAAATCTTCAGAGACAGGTTCCGAAAGAGATTCGAATAGTTAAGTATGTTATTCGAATTGAGGATCCTGAGGAGCAATTGTCCGCCCTTAATGACGCTTTTACACCTGGAGATGAACTTGAAGGAACCCATGTGGATAGTTTGTACACGTACGTCAACATGTATAACATATCAGAGTACAAATTATCTTGAAATAGAATTCAGTTGTGATAAAAACTTCTTTTATATATTTTTTCAGGACACCAGAGAAACTTCACACTTGGATAAAGACTGTCGTGGATGCTTATCATTTGAGCAAAGAAAGTACACTCATTAGGGAAGCACGGGATCTGATGAATCCTGAGATCATCGAAAAATTGGAGAAATTGAAGAAGGTTGTGGAAAGGAACTTCATGTGAATATGAGGGTGAGAAACATACTAATATGGTTTTCCTACTTCAAAACATTATAACGTGCATGAGATTGACGGGGTTTACAGCAGCATTGCTCTAAATAAGTGTCTATATTCTGGTTGGTATTTTGAAAATTTCAATTTGTTCCACCAGAGTAAGCTGAATCAGGGGGGAAAACTAGACAACCATCAAGATTGTAATATCAAAAGTTTGGTTACGTTCCCTTTTCTTTTTGTTACTACAGGACTTTGAAATTTGAGTAGGAGATTGTGTCCGTTGCAGAATATTACATGGTAGACTCGAGAAATACAACATATCCACTAAACTTCAGCCCTGGCCAGGTCTTTTATGTTACTATTTAGTTGTAAATAAAATATATTCCAGTGGTTAAATCTCCAAAGGCTGATGGAAATACGCACAATTGAAAAATTACAGTGGTTGTTTGATTTATATTTATAGTAGTTTCTTATATTAAGTAAAATATAATTAACTTGTGATATTTGTTCTTGTTTGAATAAATTAAGTGTTAATGATATAAACCTGAAAGTACAGGTAAAAACTGTGTATTAATGAGTGCAAGTGGGTGAGCTTGAAGCTCTTACAATGATGGAAAATGTAGAAAGAAAATGAGAAGTTAGACCATAGTTTCAAGAACTCCTAGACCAGGGCATAACTGCTCTTAAACTAGAGAGAATTTCTCTCCAAACCAATCAATTTTCTTTTATAACCAAATTTCCCATCCCTTTTCTTTTATAAAGGAAAAAACCCATAGAAAAGAAGAGAATGTTAACTGATTCTTAATGGGGGGTTACTTCTCCTATCCTAAGGTGTGCTTCTGTATCTTTGTGAAATATCAAAATTGCCTATGAAATTCAAAAAATACACTTTCGGATGCATCTTATAATCACCACATTCCTTCATAAGTGAATGACATTCTCATTTTGCTAAAAAAAATAGATGCATCTTATACACACCACATTCCTTCGTAAGTGAATGACATTCTCATTTTGCTAAAAAAAAATAGTTCGGGAATTTAGTTCGGGACAAATCTGTAAGTATACTTTTGTAGGAGCAATGCTATATGCATTATCCACCAAAATATCACGAAAACATAGTTCCGGAATAAATCCGGAAGACAAGGTTATATGTATGCAGTTAAATATGACAATTTATGAACTTGAAACAGAATATGAAAGTTTATTAAGATAAAATAGAACCTGTTCAACAGATCTCATGCCATAAAGCACTGATGATTACTGCTAACTTCGAAATGTTATTTCCTTTTTCTTTACAATAGGTAGCAGCAGCTTTGCAAGCAGACTACAAATCTCAAATAAAATACATAAAACTAGTTTAGTTTTTAAAGAAATATGTGATATGCCAGATCATAAACAGAAAAGATAGATTCATGAGACACATTCAAAATGTCCTGGAACATTATTAGTACCAGTGAGCAATTTGCTTATATGCCTAAAATATTGAAGGCCATGAACGTTTGTCATATTGGTATTTATTCTCAATCAAAGTTCACTATGCCAAATCCCCACAACTACACTACACCACTTATACAACCATGTCAATGCCTTCGACCTCCATAAAGTAATCCTCAACCCTAATGGAGAAGTTTTCAAATTTAACTTTCACCCCCTTACACATTCCCATTCCCATCGTAGTGACATGATCGTCATTCCCAAGTTTCATGGTTGATACCTTGTTCCAATTCATTGGCAGTTGCATTGTTTTAGTCAATAGAGGAGATATGAAGTTGTGACTAGTTCTTGGTCAACCATTATCATCACTAGCATTCCTGTCACAATGCCTTCAAGGAGCAAGAGGTTAAGGAAGAATCTTGAGCTTTGTTTTTCGTCACTAGCATTCAGGTTAGCTTGATCGCGATGATCTAAACTACTTTGTTTATTGCCTCATCATCACCCAAAATTACAACATGCTATTGTTTTGTTTTTCTGCACCCTTATACAGAGGTTGATAATATTCTCCGCGACAAAAACATAGACCTCGTACTAGTGGAGGAGTCAGGAATTTTAGATAGCCTGAACAAAAATTTAACTGCAAGTTATATGTGACATAATATATAAATAGTTATAAAATGTGATAATTATATCTCTGTTTTTACTAATTTTGCTCTTATTTTTACTAATTTTGTCTCTGATTTTTGAGCCCGGACGCGTTTCCGGGCTTGCTGAACTATAGAACCGTCTCTGCCTCGTGCCTTGAGATCTATCAATTCACCATAAGGGAGTTGTTTATCCCATGATTATAATCCCCATTGTTCTTTTGAAGATATTTTACTTTAATCGTTTTGGTGATTGCATGTGTCAAATATTTCAAGTATTATGTGGTTATTTGCTTGTACCTATTCGTTTGACAGACCAATTAGAGAACTTTCGAAATCTCTTATGCTATCTCGATTGAGTCAGAGCCTTTGTAAAATGCTCCCGAATAAGGCATTTGTTGAGCTACTAGGATCAATCAACACTCGCTTCACATTTTAATTTTCATATTGGACTGTGATGACTATGAGGTCATTATTGTGGAGAAAAACATCAACAAAGTCTTCATTCGAGAAGGTGATTTTAGATTCTCGTTCTCTCCCCAAAGTTTTGGTAATGTTACCAGGTACATATTTGTTGTTAAAATTTTCCTGATGTACTTTCTCCTAGAGGAATTGGATTCTCGCCATCAGAAAACCCCACTGACGATGGTATTGACAATGATTTCAATGCTTGCTTAAACATCCTTGTGAGTAGTAGACTGTCAAAGAAGATGCTGGATAATGATGAGCGTGACCTAAATTAGTTTTACAGGATCTCATTGCAGATGCCAATTATACTTGTTAAAAACACAATACGTGACAACCTCTAGTGATTAAGTGTTGCCAAAGACTTTAAGATATGTTATAGGATTTAGAGCTAACACACATAGGGATGTGATAAACTGTGTGTATCTAGTATTTGTGTAAAATGTGACATTGCCCTCCTCAACCCCTGAATTGAGTTATTTATAAGAGATTTTGGACTTGGATCTTAAGCGCCTAGGAAATAGCAACCACTTTTCATAGAACGTGAGAACAAATAGTTAATCCCCTATTATTTCGAAGAGCCTGATTAACTTTTCTCTGACTTCTTCCACACGGTTGTGAACTAAAGACACATCACCTATGAAGTCCGAACACACCGAATTTGATCTCGACATTGACACAACGTCATCGATAGTAATTTAAAAAATGAATAAATTAAATGTAACTACAAATGTCGGCGCAAATGTCTGATACCGACACAAACACATCTTTTTAGAAGTGTCAGTAATACATAGTACGTTACTTCTTACACTTTTTTGCTTCGGCTAGTTATCTCAAAAATAGGCCACACATTTGAAAAACGGACAACCTATCTATCAAACAGGTAATCGATTCAGATAACATACGATTAAAGAGGTATTGTGAGTGAAACAAACATTACCACGTTGTTATTTGTGAATCTCTTACAAATATATCAATATAGATATATTTAAAAAAATTGTGATTAATAATATTTAAAGTTATATATAATTGAGTTATATAGATAAAGTCTTTATAATCTCCTTCTTAAATTATATGATCTTTTATCATTTGAATATTATTAATTTTGTATAAGAAAGAAATTTTTTGAGATAATTTTTTTTTGATATAAATTTTTTTTTGAGATATAATTTATAACATTATATTTTATTAATGATATTTACTTGATAGAGAAAACATTAATATTTCATTAAAATCATAAAATGATTTAGAATTTAAAATGAAATAATAAATTATAATATATTACTATAAATATGAGAAAAGAAGTGATGTAAAATTATATAAATTTTTTTATCCTAACAGTGTATAAATATTATTCAGGTGTATTAATTATATGCTAAATATGATTAATTTAAATATATTACTATAAATATATAAGTGTATCAATTATATGTTAAATATAATTAATTATTTATTTGATTATATTAATCATTGAAATTGTTGTCATGCCTTTTTTTTAACAGTGTTGTCATGTTTTTTAAAAGTAAGTTTTTCTGAGTTTCCTTGAATATGGCATTAAATATGTGAAATTTTTCTAATAAAAAAAATACGTGAAATTTTTTGACCCACTTAGTATAAAAATTAAACAAAATAACTCGATTAAAAAAAACAAAAAAAAACTTAATTAAATAAAAATAAAATAAAATAAAATAAGTAAAGTAAAGTAATTTAAAATGTAGCATGAATGCAATTTTGGTTGTATTTTTCATTGAGAAAGCTGTAGAAGACGCTATCACACGAGGAGAAAGTGGGCACAGGTATGGCGTCAGTTTCCGGTTCGATTGGTTCGGATGTGAAGAATGAAATGAGGAGTCATGAAGTCGCCATAGCCGAGCTTAACGCCTTACCTTCTTCCAGAGTCAGTAATCTCTTCTTCTCATTTTCAATTCACCCAATTCAATACATTAGGGTTAGGTTATTTGTTTTTCTTATTCTTCTAACTTAACTTGCTTTAGAAATTCATTTTAAAGGACTTATTTTGTTGTTGTTGTTGTTGTTGTTGATGTAGACTGTCTATCAGAAAAACGGGAACTTGTTTTTTCGCACAACCGTCCAAGCAGCAACGAGCATGGAGCAGAGTAAGATTTCTTCACTTTTGACATTGTTTTCATTTTTTAGAAGAAACAATTTGCTTTAAGGTGCTTAACAGTTCCGCTAACATATTCTCCCCGAAATTTGTGTTGGATAGAGCAACTTTATTCAGCCACAGCCATGCTAAAGAATCTGAATTCTTCTGTATAGTTCTATGCTAGATCACTCTGGTGGTTTAGTAGAATCGCATCATTTTGCTGAGATGGGGGCAATAAAGACTTCATTTTCTTAAGAGTTGTTAGTTAGGTCTTAGAATATGTTTGACAAGCCTATAAGTTTGGTTGTTACTCATTTGACTATAGCATGTTATGTAAGTAGAAGTGTTTGGCAAACGAGTTTGGTAGTTTTAATTTTATATAACTACTTCGATTTTTTGTTTAAGCATATTTTTTTATGCCTTATTGTTTTAACTCAATGTTACCCATATTGTTTTAATCAAATATTTACCTTTCCCACCCTCGATTAAAAATGTTACCTTTAGCCATTATCTCACAAAGTAGGATTTTGTAAACATACACACAAATATTATGTATTTGGAATAAAAACATGTAGCTGGTTATAATCTATGAAAAATGAAACTTATCATTCACCCATAGATTGTTGTTCACAAGTTAAGAAGACCCAACCAAAGTAAAAGCATAAACGTGTAATTCATCCCTCCTCCTCTCTCTTTCGAACTCGATCAATGGCAATATGAGAGAGATAAGTTATAGTTTTTTTTCAAATAGATGATTTCTCTATAAGATGTCAATTAGACACACATAAACATGTACTAGAACACACAACTCTTTTGAAGTATATTGCCAAACACTGAAAGTGCAAACTTAGTCCCTAAAAGACAAGCACAACACAAACACCTAAAATAAAAGCATAACAAAAAAAACACATAAACAAAGATAAACACGGTGTAAACTTAGTCCCTAAAAGACAAAAGCACAACACAAAACCTAAAATAAAAGCATAACAAAAAAAACACATAAACAAAGATAAACAGATTTCATTGAAGAAATAATTGCAAAATATAAAAAATTCATGGCGACATTGGGGGTGGACGAATGATTGTGAGCATTGAAGGTGTAGGAGTAGCTACATGCACCATTATTAAATTTGAGATGTGCAAAACACCTTTAATAGACTTTTCATTTTTCGGTGGCGGCACCAGTGGCGGACGCAACAACAAAAAAAAAGGAGGCTTGGTGGTGGTTTGTGGTAGAGAGATAGAATATTCTGTTAGAGTTAAATATGGTAAGAGTTAGTTGTGGTAAGAGCATGGGATGTAATTGAATAGAGAGAATAATACTCTCAAAAGAGGAAGAGATGACCACTATAAAGATGGAAGAAGAGGGCTACCATCAGAGTTGGAGGCAACCATCAAACTTTATAGGGTTTAAGGGGAATTTTCCTAGAGAGAAGGTGGAACATCACTCTCTAGGGAAATGTTGTTTTAAGTACATTACACTTCCATTGAATACGTATTTATGTGGTCTAAATTTCATGTAAATACGAAGAGCTTATTATGAGCTCTAAATTTTTTGTTTTAGAACACATGTTTGCACACTATACGAGCTAAATGTAAAATTTTAAGAATACTAGTAAAATACACGATGGTATGAATATGTAAGTATTATTGACTGCTTCAAGTAAACCATTAATTGTATTAGACTTGGGATTGTCTATGTTGTAGGATTGTCTTGAAGATTTATCAATAGCCTTAGAATAAAGTACTATCACACTATTGAGAGAGTTACAAGATATCTATAAAGGACTATGAACCTTAGATTAACTTATCAAAAGTTTTTTCTTATCCTTAAAGAATACAATGATGCTAATTGGAACACTTTGTATAGTTGGAGATCTAAGAAACAAACATGTATGACTCAATTCCCTGTAGAATTACAAATTATAACACTTACAAGCACTAGTGAAAAAGCAAGTTGATGGAGATACTTAATAGTTAAGATCTCTTTATGGAAAAAAAATAGATGCCAACTACGTTGATCCACTACAATAGTATCACCATCATTGTTTTAAAGAAGTTATTTGAGTTGATCATGTTCTCACCGATAAAAATTTAATTGATCATTTGACAAAAAAGTTAGCTAACAACAAAAAGGAGGCTTGGTGATAATTTGTGGTTGAGAGAGAATATCTGCTGAGAGAGTGAGTTCTGGTAAGAGCATGAGGGTGTAATTGAATAGAAAGAATATTATTTAGAAATTGAGGAGATGACCACCATAAAGATGAAAGAACTTGAAACTTTGAAGCAGCCATCAAAGTCTAGAGAGTTTGGGGAAATTTTCTAGAAAGAAGGGAGAACATCTATTTTTAAGAAAAATTTATTTTAAATACACTACACTTTCGTTGAATACTTAGTCATGTGGCCTAAAATTCATGTAAATATGAAGAGTTTATTACGAGCCCTTAAGTTTTTGTTTTAGCTAATATGCTTGCACACTATACGATCTAAATGTAAACATTTTAAGAGTACTAGTAAAAATATACGACAATCTAAATATGTAAGCATTACTGACCGTTTCAAGTAAGCCACTGGTTGTATTAGACTTGAGATTGTCTATGTTGTAGGAGTGTGTAGATTTATTAATAGACTTAGAATAAAGCACTCTCACAATATTGAGAGAGGCATGAGATATTTATAAAGGATTATGAAGCTTAGATTAATTTATCAAAAGTTTTTCTAATGATCTAAAATAATTATAACCGTTTTACTAATTTTAATCTATTAAATATTTAAATAGTTTGACTAAAATATCTTTAAATTAATTATATTTAAAAATAATAAAAAATATACATTGATAATATAAAATATTTTAAATTATTAACCAATCACAATTATTCGTTATGTATATTCATGCTCTACATTTTTCATTCTTAACTAGGTGTAATGCACTTTTCTTCTTCTTGTTATTAACTCTTTAATAGTTGATTATTTTGTTATTTTTAAATGGCAAAATAGGAGACAAAATCGTGTGACACATCATCCAAATATTTTCTTATCCACTAGACAATACGTAGGGGTCTGCATGGTTATCATATATTATGATTCAATCCATTTTTATGGTTATGGTTTACAAACCAAACCATTAATCACAAAAACTGATTTAAAAAACATAATTGGTTTCAAACCGGATTAAAACCAGTTTGAAACCAGTTTTAATTTTAATCTAAATTATTTAAATATAATTTAATTTATATTCAATTTATTTTAATTAATAAAATTTTAAAATTAATTCAGTATTAATTTTTTTAAATATTAATAAAACACATCCTTAATTTAATTTTAAGCAGATTTTAAAAAATTGTCGTGGTCGTATTACAATTTTTGTAATTTCGGTCGATAGAGGTGTTACGACATTGATTGTGTTCGTCGCAGTGTAAATTATTAATTATAATTTGTTTTTTAATATAAAACGGATATAACAGTATCGATATCGACATATGTCCAAAATATTTTGTCGCAGTCGTTCTCACGGTCACAACATTTTTTAAAACATTTTTATGTTTAAATGATCTTTTTTGTTTTATCAATCCTAAAAGAAAAATCAATTAATACTGAGATAGTATTAATTAATTCACTATGCACATTCGTTTTCTTAAATAAAGTATATGTATATTGAATGAAAAGAGATCAAGTTCAAATAAATTTCTTTCAAATTTAAATTAATCTTCTACAGTGATAATAATATATCTTGCTTTTTAAATGTTTAGTATACTATATCTTTCAATTTATTTGAGAGTGTTTGCATATTTTTTAACTATAATTAAACATTTTTATATTTATTTAATAATTAGTCATTTGAAATAAAGTGTTAAATATCATTCAATTTTTATGAAAATGTGTAGAGCTTATTTTCTTTAGAAAGTGTGAAAATTAGAAAGTAGAAAAATTTGATGAGAAAGAAATTTGGATACCCAATAACCATTTTATGAGTACCGGTTTACCACTTTGACCATAGATAGACCACCAAATTCATTATTTAATATTTGGATTGGGTTTTAATAAATAGAATAATTTAAATATGAATTTGGTTATTATTTAATATTTGGATTGGGTTTTAATAAATAGAACAATTTAAATATGAATTTGGTTATCAGTAACCAATTTTTTTGCACACCCCTAATAGTACGTGCATCAAATGAATTTGAACGATACTGCTTTATTTTATATGGATTGATTTTTGTGTATGTGAAATATACAATAATCTTATATTATTGATGATAATGTAAATTTAACTTCTAAATATTATAAATTATATTTTTTTATAAGCAACAATATTTTAATAAATAATTATGGATCTTAAAAATAAAATTTAAATTTTACTATAAAAAAAATAGAATTTCTTAGTACACCCTTATACGAGTAGAAAAAAATATCTGAAACCTACAAAATATCTTTCGGATATGTATATCCGAACGAACTCCTATATTTTATTTTCAGAGAGTTTTTAGATATGCATATCCGAAATAATCCAATATTTCGTCTTAGAGATTCTCGGATATGTCTATCTGAAATAATTCAACATCTCAATTTTACTTTAATTTTATTTTGAATTTAATTAATAATCATTCTAAATCTGATTGATATTTATTTTAAAGGGTGAGTTCGAAAATGCATTTCCGAACTATACCTGTTTCCAGAATCAATGCAACATGAATGAAGACATGACATCAAAATAAAAATAAACCAACACCAAATTCAACATTTCATTAGATAAAAACATTCATTACATAGATAGTCACGGAAATAAATTCAACATTGCATAACCATTTCACCGGGATGTTGCAACATAATGATTATATCTTCAATGGGTCTTTGAATGATTGCATCCACTTCAATCGAACCCTTTGATTCATAATTGAGAAAAATACTCCACATAACCTTTAGATCTTCATCCGTGTTCAGCTCAAGGTTGGTGAAATGGACATTCCCTTTGCTGTCAAATAAGGGTGACTAATACTCGAGCTTGACAACTCTGTGATTTTCTGGAAAGTGCAGCAGAGTATTCATTTTGGATATCAGATCCACAAGGGAAGTTTCCTCGGTGGTTTCTCACTATTAAAATACACAAATGCAAGATGGGAATATGAACTCATTCTCTCTGGTTTTAGTGTGTTGGTGCACCAAATTAGAG